GTGCTGTGCAGACCACAGGACATTTATGCTGCTGGTCCCAAACAAGGTGCCAAAAAGGCAAGGAAGCTGCACTTAGCTCCGCAACAGCCCTCCCAGGTCCCATATGACAATGCAGCCCCCCCGCCACCTCCAGCCCCACAGAGTTAGCTACCGCTAGAGATAAAGCCATATATACAGGGAAAACTCCAGCAAAAACAAGCAGCGCAGACTTTCTGCCCGGCAGCACAGGCACCACAGCCAGCCCCATGCCCTCCTCTCTGCACAGACCCCCTCACAAGGGCAGCCTCTGAGCCACGGCCCCCTCCAGACCCAGCACCCCACAGGACAGGTCCCAGGCCCTGCAGACGCGTCCTGCTCCAGGACCACCATCTTACAAACCCCACAGCTTTCAGCAGCACAGCTTGCAGCAGGAAACACAAAACCACCAGGGGAGGTTCACAAGTGCAGGAAACACAAATGTCACAGGTGCTCGACCTGAGCTGTATGATTCCCTGCCAAGGAACAAGCACAACTGCAGCTCTCACTGTCTTTGGGGGAGAGAAGAAAAACATATTTCTGTGGGGCAGCTTCTCTCTTGCAAGCCCTTTACACAGATACACTGCCCTTATCCTTGCTCCATGTCACCCCATACACAATTGCTCTGCAGTAACCACACACATGCTTCTGCTCCCACACAACCTGCTTCGCTCCCACTCATACCACCATTGTGCATCCCTAGTTCAGAGAAGCAGGTATGTGCCCTCCAGCACCAGCACCTCACACACCCGTACCACTTACCCCAGATGAAGAGGGTCTCTGCCTGGTTGCTAACATCTCCAGAGGTGGTCTTTTGCAAAGCAAGCCTCACAAAGAGCTCACAACTGCTGTTATGGCAGAATTTAAGTTCTCTAATGACCTTAACTGGGGTAATGGGGCGCCAATGTAAAACACCTAATTGCAATGTTGGGCACAGATAGTGAAAAGCGCTCTTTGGCAGTTCTCAGCTTTTCCTAGCAGCTCCCACCTGATTTTAATCTCCCAGGTCTCTCTCAGTGCAGCTGGAAGACGCTCTCTGCTGACACCCTCAGCAGAGTGGGACCACAGAGGATCAGCTGGGAGCATTACGTACCCTGTGGGGAGGGTCTCCTCCCTTAACCACTGCTTTCAGAGGCTGTGTCGCATGATGTGATGGGGTGCTTTCACTATGTATCCTGCAGTCTCCTCACCAGCTTCTCAGTGCAGATGTGGTGTGGTAGGACAGGCTGGGGAGCTGTCATCACCAGTCTCTGGATGCAGTGAAGTAAACTGCATTGTAGCTTCAAGCAGAAGGTAGAGCAGAAAGAAGAGGCATTTTTCCACTCTTCAGAATAAGAAGCGAGGTACTATTTTGTTTCCTCGGGACAGGAACTCCTGAAGGCAAATTTATGGTCATCCTTGTATCTTGGGAAGTTCAGTTACTCTTAACACTTCATGTTAATACAGGAGGGGACAATTTTTCACATATGTCTATTGACCTCAGCAATTCCCTCTTCTATGAGGCTTAACAGGCTTTACTTCATAACAGTGCAGAAACCTGCAGATATCCAATCTCTTACAGTACAAATGCAGTACATGAGCCCAGCCCAAACTGGCACCAATGATTTAATCTATCAAAGCTCTGTCTGCTGCTGCCCCGCTCCCCACAATCTCCCTCCCTAAAACCTGCATGCCAGTTGTGTTTCCCAGGCAGTTCCTCACACCTCACCCGGTGCCAGCCCAATGCTGGGCATTCACCCCTCAGCTCCAGGGTTCCAAAATCACCTTACTGTCACCTGGACATTTCTCCTGAGGGCTGCAAAGGAAAGGAGCCTGCTGTGATGACTGCAACTTCTACTCCTGCTGATACAAACCATAAAAGAATCAGCGCTTGCTCCACCTAACTTGACAGGGAAGGAGCAGAGAAGTGTTTCTAGTGAAAGATTCCTCCTCCTCCCCTACGCCACCGTGGGCTTTGCTGAGAGAGCCAGTTCCCAGAGAAGAGCAAGCGATGCTGTGCGCTTTCCCCTGCTCTACCACAGGCTCACACAAGAGCATCAGAGATGCTGATCTGTGAAATGACATACCTATCTCTAAGCTCCAAGGGGGAAGCTGCAAAGATTAATAAGCCTCAAAATGTTATACAGCATTTAAATAGTACTGTCACAGATCAAAGACCATCACTCATCTCAGAGAGGCAGGCTCAGAAAGCCTAGAAAGATCATGTACAGAAAGCAAATGCAAGATGCAAGAGAGAGCCTGCAGACAGGAGCCGAGGAAAGCTCAAACCGAAGTGGCCTAAGCCAGAGTCTAACATGTGTTCCTGGAGGAACGAAAGCCAGAAAAACTGCCTGGTTTCACTCAGTCTCAGTTGTGTCTTAGCACAAAAAAACACATTTCATTTTAAGACACCCTCTTACCTTGGAGGTACCTGCTGCTGGGAGCAGCTTAAATCCCAGTGCAAAACCACAACCCTGCCAGATCGCTGAGATAAGGAGCACACTGGGAACCATGTGCAACTGCTGAATAGATTTGAAAAAGCCCCTGAATTACATTGATGCCACAGGGACTGCAGAATCACACTGCCTGCGCTCTAAGAGCTTTCATTCTTAAAGCCACGAGGATACTGCGTGGAGGTTTGATGGCAATATCACTTGCCCACACTTGCAGGCAGCGTGGGAGGCCTGATCTACAGTCTTTCAAGTTATTCATATAATTTTGTCATGTGGGAGGAGGAGGAGGAAGAGAAGGGGACTTTTTATCCAAATCACTACAGCGGTAGAGGTAGTAGCATGGGAATAAAGATGCCTCATGATGGTATTCCTACCCCCAAGTTCTCCTAGAGTAGCTATCCCATTGTAAAGCACCTGTATTCTCACATGACTTTGAGCAAGACACTCCATTTACATTTCTTTAGTACAGTTAAAGTGCTGCAGGAACTAGCAGTAGTAGGAGCCCATCTTACACAGAGGTATAGGGTTGAATATTCCTCCAGTCTAGGTTGGACACTGAGTACTGAGGGTCACCCACAGTACATGCACTGCATGAGGCCAAGCAACTCCTGGATACAGACATCCAGGAGAAACCCTGTTCTCAGAGATCCCCCGGATACTTCATCCCTGCAAACTCAGTCCTTCAATACCCCCCCCCATACCAGGTCTGGATCCTTGCTCCTGAACCTTGCTTCATGACCTGGGGACTCCCTACAGCACTGTACAAAAACACTGTGCAGAACAAAAAGAAGTCCTCAAGCAAACTCTGGCTGATTGAATTTTGAAGGTAAGGAATGCCCTTCTGCAACAGATGTACAACCCCCTCTGCCCACCCCAAACACCAGATCCATCACAGAGAAGGGAAATATTTACACAAGTTAGTAGAGTTCCAGTTAAATATTATGCTTAGCTGTCTAGAGTCCATGTTCTCAGACTATGTCTATGAAATAAAAGATTAAACTTCATAACAATTATGAAGTTGTTCTGTTCACATTCAGAGGGAGTTAAAGGACATTAAAATAGTTCTTTGGGTAATATTCCAGTGAAATTGCTTTTTCCCTCCTGAAGAGTTAGAGCTAAAACCTTCTGAACTATCCTGTAAACACACTTGGAAAGGCTAAGAGCTGAGCTGATAACCAGGTAGCACCTCTGCTCTGCAGGTTCTGTAAAAAATGTGAGCAATGCTGGAGAGCTTTTGAAGCGGTGAGGGAAGGAGGATAGGGGAGAGCAGCTTCTCTTCTCGAGGGAAGTTTGTTTAGTGGAAAGTAAGCAAGTTGTCAGGGGAAAAGCTGACAATGTTGATTCCAGCAGTTGTACTGGGAATAAACAGCCAAGTGGATTACGTTACAGAGAATGAGAAACGGCTCTGAGGATCCCATTTAAATGCTGGGCTTTCAGGAGTGATGCGATTCAGCCACGCTCATGGCCCCAGTGCCCACCGGCCCCCCTCGGGCTGAGCCCTCTGCCTGCCCTGGTATTGCCACCCCCTCTCTGGGGGGTCCCCGAGAGGTCCAGCACAGCCGACGACGTCCCCAGGAGAGCCAGAGCTCGCTGCTGTACTGGCGAGGACGCAGACCCATGCTGGCTTCAAGGCAGGGGCTGGACATTGAATTAGGGATGGCAGCAGAGTGGGGGGAGGTTGCGCAGGACCCGCTTGTCTCTCTCAGCCCAGCAGCAGGGGAGGGCCACCATGGGGCTTGCCATCTCCTCCCCAGCCAGACCATGGGGCCCTCCCTCCCATAAAAATCAGATGCCTCCCTGCCTTTCACAGGAAAGGGACCCTGCAAGAGGAGAAGGGGATCTTGTTTGATTTATTAGTCTCTTCCTCCTTCCCATCGTCTGTGGCTCATCCAGCTGTAGTGATAAGGAGAAGAGCTATGAAAGGACACTGCTGGCTGCTGGGATCCCATCCTTCTGCCCACTCACTGCCTGAAGACATCAGTCCTTTACAAGCACCATTAAATGTGTATCCAAAATGTGGCAGTCTCCTCCATCCTTTGAGATTCTGTTCCCTGGATAATACAAACAGTTGCCAGAAAAAGAGTATCCTCTCATCTCTGTCTGGGCCATTATCCCTTTATATTTGCTCTTTAATATTTACTGGGTTCACACAAAGTGCATGCTCTGGAAAGAAAAAAAAATCAGCTGCAGCTTAAAGGACTCCAAATTTAGTAATTGCTGCAGCCCCATCAACGTGAACAGTTAGCAGGGAGATTTCTCCAGCACTTCACGTGCCATGGTATTCGGCTTAGGTCAGACTGTAGAAAACGTTCTGTCCAGGGGCACCAAATCTGGAGTGTCTGCGTAGGTGCCAGCTGCAGGGGCCTTATGAGTCCACCACGAGACCCTGCAGGTCCTTTCCCTCCCAGCACCCAATAATCTTGGTAGGAAACAGAGGCAGCCAGAGAGATGCTGATTCATACAGAGGTGAAGCACCCGAGGGTTTTAACACACCTGTGAGTTAGCAAGAACTAGCCCCTGCTCCTGGCTCTGGAGCTGGTCTTGCAGCCTTACCTGTTAATGTGAGGTTGCTGTATGTGTTTGAAAACTGCTCCTTTAACAAAACCAAGTGCATCTGAGCTGCCTTTTCCCTCTGTAGCTCCAACATTATGTCAGGATGCTGGGCGATCTTACAGCCTTTCTGCTTATCCAGGGCAATGTCGCTGCGAACAATGTCTACAGCAAAAGGGAAAGAAAAAAGGGAGATGGCCAAACCTCAGCTTTCATTTTCACCAGACACTTGGATAAGCACCAGCCAACATGTCAGCCACACAACCATCACTCAGCATGAGCAACCCAAAAAAAAGGGTCCAGTCCCCTTGGATCCACCTATCCAATGAACCTACTATGTCCAAGTCTCCTTTTCTCCCACAGAAAGCTGAAGTCATTGACTTTAATATGCTAACGCAACCTACTGCCCCTTCCATCCTTCACCTGCCTAGTAGTTGTTCTCTTACAATGATGACCCCTCTCTTTCAGGACAGTGCAAAAGTCTCTCAACATTTATATTATGACCCTGTTACTGGCGTGTTTGACACTAAATAATGAGCAAAGACTAAATCCCATTCTGGTGACCCCTGGCTTCCATTTACCCTTGCCTGTCAAAAAGATGATGAAGAAGGCTTGTTCTCACCTTGTTTATCCCCACCACAGCTATCACAGCTAGAGTTAGGTCAGCACGGCTTATGACCCTTTGAACAGGTCTCTGTACCCTTCCAACTCCTGACATTCAATTCAGGAGGCAGAAGGGTTATTTAACAATTGTTTTCTCTTCATATGAGGATTTTATAAGTCATATTGTGAAATAAGAATATATTCCCTCGCCTAGAACTACCCACCTGCTGGGGAAATGGAAAGATGGGGATAGCAGGGCAGAACAAGAATCAAGTAAGATGTGTCCAGGCTCTAAGCAGGAAGGGAGTGGTGCAAACTAGTCCTTACAAGGTTCCTGTCCGAGTGTAATAAACTCTGTAACATGCTCAGATCCACAGGCACCATATGCTGTGTCTAATTCTTACAAAACCTTAGGCAGCCAGCACTGATAAGGAAGGATGGAAGTTGGAGTTCTTCCACCACATTGCATGAGGTCACCCTTTGCATCATGAGGTTGCGCTTTGCTTGGTTTAATTCCCATCTAGCTAGATGTTTCTGAAGGAGCTTATTGTCAGAAGAGAGTCACGTCTTGCTCCACATACACTCTCCAGCTCCATTATCGTTATGTACACCAAGGAACACCAAAGTTGTTTTCAATAGCCATGTTCCTGTCTTTCAAGGTGTCAAATCTCAGGTTCGGCAAACATAGGTTCAAAATTCTGCTATGTCTTGGGTTGGCAGAGAACCCCCTCCAAAGGTGGGGTGAAGGACTGGAAGTCACTTTATCTTCCTGTCTCTGAGCCTCATCCTAGAGTCACTATGCTTGTCTTGCCCAGGCTGTGCTCTGTCTGTCTCTTTACTGCACTGTTTGGGATTAACACAGCTTCTCTAAAGCCTGTCTAAAAAAGAGTGCTCAGAACAGTAATGTCATTAAAGCCCTTGTGTTTTGTAGTGAGGGACAAGAGTTCTCACCTCCACCTGCAGCTAACATGCTCACGAGTTAGGGCAGCATCCAGCTAGCATGAAAATATGGCTCAGTACTTCCACACCCAGCACAGGGGCTTCAATGCTTCAACGTGGAGAGATGAGATGGAAGAGGAAGGAACAATGTTCCTCTGCAGATAAGAAGCACACACTCCCCAACCACGCGCTTTTGGTGCACAACCTCTTAGGTAGACACTGAGTAAGATTTGAGCCTACCCAAATTCTGCCCAACTAATGAAACTATGTGATGATACAATCTTGAACCTCTGCTGCGTGAGATATTTGGAGAACTGAAGATTGAGAAGCAGAGTCTTATCACTCTCCCACACCAGAAAGGGTATCACTACAGCTACCAGTGCCACCTGGAGCTCATGCACAGTCATTCATCTTCTTCAGTGACGGATTTCCTTTTCTACAGAACTGAAAGCAATGGTTGTACACTCCCCACCCCCAAGGCTAAATGGGGCACAACACATCAAGGAGGCCCTGGCGGAGGAAAAGACTGAGAGGCCAAAAGTTTTGAAACTAGATCATCAAGACACTGTCTCCAATTCCCTTCAAACTGCTATAAGGGAGTCCAGGCTGGGTCAAAACATGTTTGTTTCCTAAATGGGGTGGAAAGCTCCTAAAATCCAAACCAGGACCAATGTGGACGCACGTGGAGAAACCGTTGGCCTGGGACCAGGGTTCCTGCCCTCCCGCTCAGGGGCCAGGACAGCACCTTGGAGAGTGCAAGGGGACGTGGCAGCGGGTCTGCGCGACACCCTTACCTCCATCTTTGGGGACCACAGATCACAGCAAACACATGGTTGGGCAAAGGACGGCCCTGTGTGCACTGTCAGCAGGGTCTGGGGACAAAGGGCAGGCCAGGGGACCAAACCTAGGAAAGAGGGGCAGGAGCAGTGTTTGGAGTCCTGTCCTTAGGTGACGAACTGCTGTGGGATTAGCACAAGGAGGTCAAGTGACATTCAGACAAATCCCTGGTGTTTTGTTAGATGTTGAAGTCTGGGAGAAGGTGTGCAGGGCACTGAAAGTGGGGGAACTCTCTGGCAGTCATCTTCACGGGGTTCTCAGAGAGCTGCCACTGCAGACTCTCAGGAAGCAGAGGCAAGGCATGCAAGCTCCTGGCTTCTCAGATTGATGAAGGACCCAAGAAACTTGTACAAGACCTAAAAATGGAGGTAGACTCCATGTTCATTTTAGCTCCAGCTTAATCAGTGGGCAGATGTCTGGGATATGGAGCTCTCCAAAGAACTCAGTGCCTGGTCATCCAGACCCCACCAGGCTGTACTCGGTCCAGAGGAGGAGGCAAGGGCACCTCCACACCACTCTTCTGAGCCAGCAGCACCAAGGGAAGAGGAGTGGCAGGCCACAGCTGCTGGAGGCTCAGAGGAAATCTCAGCAAGAGCAACCCAGGGGAAACAGCCAGCGAGGAGCCTGCAGCCCTCAAATCTTAAAGGAAGAGACAGAAAAGGGAAAGATGCAAGGAGTGCAAGGAGGAGGGTGCCCCAGGAAGCACTGGGCAGGCCAGCCTCCTGAGCAGCAGCTCCTGGAGAAGGACAATGCCTTCCTGAATGTCGATTTAAAAAAAAAAAAAAAAATAGAAATAAACTGCCCAGCAAAACACGAACCCAAGCAACTCTTGCCAGAAGTGCGAAAGAAGAACTCCAGATGTGGGAGCCCCAGAGGACGCCAAATGGTTTCCAAAGACGCAGACGATGAGCTCTGCCCCGAGAGGGGCCGGGGC